AAAACAAAGCATCTCTTCCTCCTTCCAAAAGCGACAAGGACAAGGACATCTCCCCAAAACATGCACACACTTTTCACATATCTCTCCCTCTTCTTATAGGCAACTTTCTCTTTCTGCCTGCAGCAACAGGTAGTTTGATGCTGTTATTATTCCTGCCACCTGTTGCCTTGTCTGTAAGCAAGAGAAGAGCATCAGAGTCTGATGTTACAAAAGACAACACTGCTAGAGAGGCACTGATCATAAAATAACTTAAAACAATGACATCTGTTACAATGCCTGACCAACCAATATCCAGCTGAGAGTTTTATACTAAAAGTTAACATTTCTCCTTCTCTGCAGGTAATCTGAGCAGAATTTTCCTTCCTGTTTTGCATATTCAGAAAATCAAATGTGGATGCAGAAAAGGTAAGGATGCAGAAAAGATAAGGGTTCTTTAAAAACCCATCATTTTTTGAGAGTTCTCTGTGGAGTCCCAAGGCTCAGCTACATTGAATAAGGTGCCGTTGAGGACATACACACTACATTCCATAGGAATATTAGGAACATAATTCATAGGAAAAGCATTCATTTCTCTAGTTCTGTGTTGCCAATGCTGTCTGACAGTGATAGGCACCCACTTTTTGCCTATCATTACTGGAGATGCATGGGATTAAAACTCTATGGAACATGGGATATACCATTTCTCCTCATTACAACTCCTCTTAGTAGGTGATCATCTCCCCCTCTCTCCCCAAGGAACTTTGGCACTTTAAAGAACTGCAGAGCAAAACAAAATTCAACAAGTACAACTTCCCTTCTTTGCTTGCCTGCTCTATCTGTTGCTTGTTGCAACCATTCAAACTGGAGGCAGAACTTCTGCAGAGAAAAGGACATGATGGTACCAACTTTGACATATAGGGAGGGAGCAGGCTATTATGGTATTATGGACCACTGACGACACAACTGGACAATTATCTGATATGGAGACGCTTTGATAATGTTTTTAATGCTATGTATGGTTTTTATGTTTTTTGTATTGCTGTTAGTGTTTTAATAGTATTTATGATTGTTTTAATTGTAACTGTTCTGGCATCGAACTGTTGCCTATTGTTAACCGCACCGAGTCGCCCTTGGGCTGAGAGGGGCGGTATATAAATGTAATAAATAAATAAGATTGCCCCCTGAAATCTCTTTTCAGATCTAAATTAATCAAGGATGCACAGAATGTCTGCCCTCTGTGGAATCTAAACCACATTGTCCCCTTTTTACAAATATAATTTGACAGATGGAGATAAAGGTTCCAGAACAACTGCTAGACTTTCCTTTCTGGTGTCAACTTGTGTGATTTTCTAACTTTTGGTCACCCAATCATTCATTTTCTTGGCACGATTTGTTGCTTCCCCCTGAGGCTGAGAGAGTCACCCTGTGTGCTTCAATGGCCAAGAGAGGATTTGAGCCCTGGTATCCAGAAACTCTGCCCAATGCCCAAACCATGTTGACTCTATGTGTCAACTAACAGGAGAGTTTTCTTAAACATGATGGAAAAAGAAAACGCTTAACATCAGGAGAACCTTGGCAAGACCTTCTTCCCACTCCTCCCATTTCCCATGGTCAGGGGCAGGGGAAATCTTTCCACACAGCTTGCCCACCTTGGTGGATCCCTTCAAGCCCTTTCCTTCTCCTTTCCAAGAGGCAGCCAGGAAATAATGCATTTGTTTTGGGACTGGGACCAAATAAAATTTGAAGAAAACGGCACTCTCTAACTTGACACTTTCTAAAAGTCTTGGGCAAATGCCCCCATGATCCCCAAGTCACATGGCCAGTGACCAATGGTCATGTAACTGGGGATGATGGGAGATGTCACCCAACTGTTCTGGAAGGTGCCGAGTTGAGTTTTTGAGACCCCTGCCAACAGAATCAGCAAGGAAGACAGACAGTCTGAACAATGGGAGTTGTAGTCCTATACCTCAGAGTGTGGTGGAGGCTCCTTCTTTGGAGGCTTTTAAACAGAGGCTAGAAGGCTACCTGTTGGGTGCTTTCATTGTGCTTTTCCTGATTGGCAGGGGGTTGGACTGGATGGTCCTTGTGATCTCTTCCAAATCTATGCTTCTCTGGGGTCCCTTTTTCATACACAGGCAAGGGCACCCCGAAACAACTGTGGGTGCATCTAGATCAGTGGTTTCCAAACTGTGGTCTGTGGACCACCAGGGGTCCACAAGAACAAAAATAGGGTCCGCAGCCACACTGTTAATACACTGTTGCTTTGAAATCACACGGAAACAAGAGCGACTGGTCTCATGAAACCCTCTTATAGTGCTGAGACAACTGGGATGTTGGGTGTGGAGAGGCTGGCTACCCACGAAATATTACTACTACCACATCAGCTCTAGATTATTAAATATGATTCTCTATGGGCAAGCTGATGGCAAGTAATGGATGGCATATGTTCTGTATCAAAAACAAGAGCTGATGTGGTCTATCCAATGCAATTTTATGAATCAGCACCCCAAATAACCAAACTGAATCTAAAGTTGACCAAAAAGTGATTTGCAATCCTTTTGGTACTAATGTTGAGGAGTGGTCCCTGGTCAAGTAGTCTCTTTTCAAAAAAAGGCTGGGAACCACTGATCTAGATAGAATTAATGCAGTTGGACACCACTTTATTAGTCAGGGTTCCATGGTATGGAATTGTGAGAGTTATGGTTTTAAAGCAGTGTTTCTCAACCTGGGGGTTGGGTCTCCTGGTGGGGAGTCCCGAGAGGTGTCAGAGGGGTCACCAAAGACAATCAGAAAACAGTGTGTTTTCTGTTGGTCATGGGAGTTCTGTTTGGCAGATTTGGCTCAATTCTATCGGTGGGGTTTAGAATGCTCTTTGATTGTATAATCCCAGCAACTACAACTCCCCAATGTCAAGGTCTATTTTCCCCAAACTCCACCAGTGTTCACATTTGGGCATATTGAGTATTTGTGCCAAATTTGGTCCAGATCTACCATTGTCTGAGCCACAGTGCTCTCTGGATGTAGATGAGCTACAACTCCAAAACTCAAGATCAATGCCCACCAAACCCTTCCAGTATTTTTAATGGTTATGGCAGTTCTGTGTGCCAAGTTTGGTTCAAATCCACCATTGGTGGGGTTCAGAATGCTCTTTGATTGTAGATGAACTATAAATCCCAGTGACTTCAACTCCCAAGTGGCAAAATCAACCCCCAACCCCACCAGTATTCAAATTTGAGCGTATTGGGTATTTGTGCCAAATCTGGTCCAGTGAATGAAAATACATCCTGCATATCAGACGATTCAGAACAGTAGCAACAGTTATGAAGTAGCAACGAAAATAATTAGGATGTTGTAGGTTTTTTGGGCTATATTGCCATGTTCTAGAAGCATTCTTTCCTGACGTTTTGCCTGCATCAATGGCAAGCATCCTCAGAACCTTACAACCTCTGAGGATGCTTGCTATAGATGCAGGTGAAACGTCAGGAGAGAATGCTTCTAGAACATGGCCATATAGCCTGAAAAACCTACAACAACCCAGTGTTTCCAGTCATGAAAGCCTTCGACAATACAATGAAAATAATGTTATGGTTGGGGGTCACCACAAGATGAGGAACTGTATTAGGAAGCTGGATTGTTGTAGGTTTTTTCAGGCTATATGGCCATGGTCTGGAGGCATTCTCTCCTGACGTTTCGCCTGCATCTATGGCAAGCATCCTCAGAGGTAGTGAGGTCTGTTGGAACTAGGAAAAAGGGTTTATATGTCTGTGGAATGACCAGGGTGGGACAAAGGACTCTTGTCTTCTGGAGCTAGGTGTGAATGTTTCAACTGACCACCTTGATTAGCATATAATGGCCTGACAGAGCAAACTTTTGTTGAGAGGTGATTAGATGTCCTTGTTTGTTTCCTCTCTGTTGTTGTGCTGTGTAATAATAATACTTTTTGGTCCTCCCTGGTCATTCCACAGATATATAAACCCTTTTTCCTAGTTCCAACAGCCCTCACTACCTCTGAGGATGCTTGCCATAGATGCAGGCGAAACGTCAGGAGAGAATGCCTCTAGACCATGGCCATATAGCCCGAAAAAAACCTACAACAACCCAGTGATTCTGGCCATGAAAGCCTTCAACAATACATTGTGTTAGGAAGGCTGAGAAACAGTTTTACAGACTTTAGCCTTCTCTGAGAAGGAGCAGATGGTGCCTCTCCAAACTATCAATCCCAATGTATTGTCGAAGGCTTTCATGGCTGGAATCACTAGGTTCTTGTGGGTTTTTTTGGGCTATAGGGCCATGTTCTAGAGGCATTTTCCTGACGTTTCGCCTGCATCTATGGCAAGCATCCTCAGAGGTAGTGACTACCTCTGAGGATGCTTGCCATAGATGCAGGCGAAACGTCAGGAGAAATGCCTCTAGAACATGGCCCTATAGCCCAAAAAAACCCACAAGAACCTATCAATCCCAAGTTTCCACAGCCCTGAGCCATGGCTGGTCAGTGGCAGATGCACCCCACAAAGCACCAGCAAGCAACCACAACCACTCCACAACAAACAGTCCTGCATGAAAGAGAGCTCATGCCGAATTGTGTGCCAACCAAGGCGCTGCTTCCCTTTCCCTTCCCTTCCAGGGAGAGGAAGAAAGTTCAGCCCAACTTCCCCAACGCCCACTCAGCCCGGCTGCCATTAGTCGAGGGAGCGCCTCCGAGGATGAGTGCCCCCCTCCAGCTCACCCCACGCCTCTGCCTTTTAGTCCTGGCACCTTCCTTGGCGAAGGAGGCAGAGGCTGGGATGTTCTCCTCGGAGAAGGCGAGAGGAGGCACCGGAGAAAGGATGCCGCTTGGCGCCGCTTGACCTGCCCTGGCTCGAGGCTTGTCTCTGCACTCAGGGGAGTCGCCTCTCAAGAAAGCCTTGCGCCTTGGGCACCCAAAGACTCCCGAGCCTGGACCCCGGAGCCTGGAGCCGTGGCAGGTCAAGCGGCGTCGGTCTGCGTGGAACCGAGAGTGGGAAAAGGCGTCGGGACTCTACCTGGGCGGCTTATACCTTGGTTGGTGGTCTCCAGAGGGAAGATGCCGGAGCATTTCTCCAGCTCGACTTGGCCGCCCAGGCACAGCTCGGAGATGATCTGCAGCGCCTTGTGGCACAAGCTGCCCACCCCGTCCTCCTTGCGGAAACTCATCCTCTTCTTGTTCTTCTTCTTCTTCTCTGGTGGGTTCTTGCTCTTGGGGGAAGTCCTTCCTTGGCTTGTGCCGACTCTTGCCTCTCTCCTTCCTCTGGCTCTCTCTAAGTCATGGCTCTGCTCTTGGGCACGCGAAGAAGTCGCCTTCTTCTCCCCCTCCTTCCTCTGGGACGCTCATCCTCCTCCTCCTCGCCCAGGAGAAGCATGAACACAAGCAAGACCCCAAAGTCCCGGCTCTCAAGTCAAGAAGGAAACGTGGGAAGGAGAGGAAGGACCTCCAAGGGACGCAGGGTGCGAGGGTTCAGGCGGAGAGGGAGAGCTTTTGTTCGGGGGGCTCTTTGGCCGGGCCAATGGCAGACCCGCGCGGTGCTGAACTGAAGATGCGGCTACAGGTGCGGGCCCAGTGCGCATGCGCGCGCGGTGGAACTGGAGGTGTTCTGCCAAGCACCGCGTGGAAAGGGACGGCGAGGGGGAAAAAGAAGGAAGGGGGGAAAACAAGGAGGGGAGAGGGAGGAGGAGATGTCGGGGGCCGGCAAGGAGGGGAGGGTGTTGTTGCTTGGCCTATTCTCTCTCTCTCTCTCTGTGCTATTTGCTGGGAAGTCTTCCTCCTTGCGCTCCTACTCCGCCTCTAGGGGTGCTTCTACACTGTAGAATTAATGCAGTTTGGGTTTTTGTGACTTTTGGGAAGCTGGGACTTATGAAAATGGGAGCTATAGTCAAATATGTCTGGAGGGTCGCAGGTTTGAAGAAATCTTCTGCTGAAGAACAAGCCAAAATGGCCAGTTGTGATAGCTGTTGAAGTCCAGTATCTTGGATATTGTATTGTCGAAGGCTTTCATGGCTGGAATCACTAAGTTCTTGTGGGTTTTTTTGGGCTATATGGCCATGTTCTAGAGGCCTCTAGAACATGGCCATATAGCCCGAAAAAACCCACAAGAATCTTGGATATTGTTTCTCATCCCTGCTTTGGATGTTCCAAGATGAGGAGAAGGAATAGCTGTACTTCTTTGTTCCCTTTTCCCAGCTCTTATCTCAAGATGAGGCGACTTGAACAATAGGAAAAGCTGTTTCCTAGGAAGTTTTCGTTCAAAATACAGTTGGACATACAGGAAACAAAACAAAAAGAGAGCCATTATCATTCTCTGTGTCTATGCCATAGTTTTTAAGTTTTACACTGTAATTTAATTTAAAAGTATAGGTTCTTCCTCAGAGTTTTTTTTCCATCTCATGAGAAACTACAAGTCGCTTCTGGTGTGGGAGAATTGGCCATCTGTAAGGACATTGCCCAGGAGATGCCCAGATGCTTGATGCTTTACCACCCTTCTCTCATGTCCCCACATGGGGAGCTGAAACTGACAGAGGAAGCTCACCCTGCTCTCCCCGTATTCAAACTGCTGATCTATGGGTCAGACCCTCAGAGGGAGAGAGAGGCTACATGAACAACTCAGGGTGTATCTCTACTGTAGAGTGAATGCGGGTTGGCACCATTTTGTCTCCCTAGTTCAATACTATGGAATCATGAGAGTTGTAGTTTCACAAGATCTTCAGCCCTCTCTGCCAAAGAGAGCTGGTGCCTTACCATACTACTAACCCCATTTATTTTTTTATCGTGTCAGAAGCAAATTAAGAATACAGTTATAGTGTATAGAAAAACCACAAAAAATTAAAAACTTCACGTTATGCAAAATTTCCTTTGATTAGAAGCCGCCCACTTGGAGTGCCTCTGATGTCGCTGTAAGAAGGCTCCCCATTGTTCATGTGACAGGGTTCAGGCTGCATTGTAGTAAGTGGTCTGTGGTTTGCTCTTATTCGCACTTGCACATCCTGGACTCCACTTTGTAGCCCCATTTCTTAAGATTAGCTCTGCATCTTGAGGTGCCAGAGAGCAGTCTGTTCAGTGCCTTCCAAGTCACCCAGTCTTCTAAATCCCCAGGGGGTAGATTCTTATTCAGTATCATCCACTAATTGAGGTTCCACTTTTTAGCCTGCCACTTTTGGACTCAGTGTTCCTGCAAGTATCTCTGTTGATCTCAGGTATTTATTTCTTGATCAAAGGCATTGGCTTGCTGGCTGATGTCCAAACAGGGGGTGGGCCAGAGCTGTCAATGCTTTGGTCTTTTCATTGCTAACTGCTACTTCCTGGCAGATAGGTGGTGCAATACTGGCTAAGCAGTCTAATTTTTCCAGTAGTGTAGGGCGTAGACATCCTATGATAATGCGCCAAGTCTCATTAAGAGCCACATCCACTGTTTTAACATGGTGAGATGTATTCCACACTGGGCATGCACACAGAGTAGCAAAGCATAAGGGCAGATATCTTCAACTTTGGAAAGGCAGATTGGTGTAAATTCTCAGATATGTTAGATGACAAGATCATATCGGTCACCCCAATCCCTGGGGATTCCATAACCCCGTGATTCCAAAGCACTGAGCGATGACAACTAAAGTAGTGTCAAACTGCATTCATTCTACCATGGAGATGTGTCCCCTGTTGGGGACATAGTTAGATCTGTATCCTAGTAAACATTTACATGGAATCCTGGGATTTGCAGTTTAGGGAAGCCTCAGTCAGTGAGCTCTTGGACCTCATTAAACTAAACTGCAAGTTGAATGTCCTTGTTGAAAATGCTCCAGAATTGTCCACAGGACTGTACGAGATAGTGACATCTTTGCTTTCTAATGCTACAATGTACACAAACTTGGTTTCATGCACAAAATTAGTTTCAGACTATGTGTATAAGGTGTCTATGAAACATAAGGAGATTCCATGTTTAGGCTTGGCTCCTAGGTTTGCAAATATTCCATAATCTGAAAAAATCTGAAATATGGAAAAATTCTGGCTTGAAGCATTTTGAATAAAGGACACATAACTTGTACAGCCTCTAGCACTCCATAAAACACTTCCATTGCCATTAAAATGGAATAATAGTGCTTTAACAGTGTCGTATGACTCTTTTGGACAGGGTTGGGCATCTTGAAGCTTCAACATACAGCTGGACTACAACAGCTCAACCCAAAATGGCCAGTGGTGATGGCTGTTGTAGTCCAATAACTTGGATATTGTTTATCATCCCTGCTTTTGATGTTCCAAGATGAGGAGAACAAGATGACTGTAGTTCTTTGTTCCTTTTTCCTTGTTCTTATCTCAAGATGAGGTGACTTAAACAACAGGAAAAGCTGTTTCCTAGGAAGTTTTAGTTCAAAATACAGTTGGGCATACAGGAAACAAAAAGAGTGCCATTATCTTTAGTACAAATCATTAATAAATAATTGATCATTAATATTTAATAAAGGGGAGGAGATGACACTCAAACAAGGCAGAAAAATGCCTCAGGACAGGAGTGTTAAGCCCTGCATTTGGTTGTGTTGTGTCCAGAAGAGGTGTTTTCTCACAAGCAAAATAGCTGTATGATCTCCACACCTTCAACCCCAGTTGTCTCCTTTCATAATACCAGAAGTCAGGATTACTTGGGAAAGCTGTGAGCAAATAGATTCAGGATGGATAAAAGGGAATGATGGCAGATCTTAAAAATGATCTGCATTGGGGAGTTAGGAAAATGGGAGCTATAGTCAAATATATCTGGAGGGCAACAGGTTTGAAGAAAGCTTTTGCTGAAGATGGGGTTTCCTTAGCCAGAACAAACCCACAGAACCATATATCATAACAATTTGGATCTGGACAGTGAGTGCTGGAGAGACAAACCAAAGAGAAAGTTTGCCTGTGATGAATCAAGAGACAAGGCATTGGAAATTGAATGCTATGCTAGATGGACTTTAGACATTCTGGAAAGACAATTCTTGCATACCTATTGTCTTGTTGGTGCCCGAAAGAATTGCATCGGAGCACTGCTGTCATGTTACACTTTGGAATATTTGGGTTCGGCCCTAGAATATGTGAAATAACATGTATCTGAGTTGTGTTGTTGAAGGCTTTCATGGCTGGAATAACTGGATTACTGTAAGTTTTGCAGGGTGTATGGCCATGTTCTGGAAACATTCTCTCCTGACATTTCAATGACATCGATAGCAGGGCTCCTCAGAGGTTGTGAAGATTGAGTTGTGTTTTCCATGTGATCAGAGGAAAAGATCAAGGATATGGCTTTGGAGCAAGGTTCAGCTATCCCATCCATTAATTTTTGATCAAACCCAAAGCTCATTATCTGCAGAAAGCTGCTTCCTCTAGTTTTTTTTTTTTGGTCGTGTCAGGAGCAACCACTCCTGTTGTGAGAGAATAGGCCGTCTGCAAGGACATTGCCCAGGGGATGCCTGGATGATTTTTGATGTTTTATCATCCTTGTGGGAGGCTTCTCTCATTTCCCCGCATGAGGAGCTGGAGCTAATAGAGGGAGCTCATCCGCCTCTCCCTGGATTCGAACCTGCGACCTGTCGGTCTTCAGTCCTGCCGGCACAGTGCTTTAACCCACTGCGCCACCGGGGGCTCCGCTTCCTCTAGTGACCATCATAGAGCTGAAAGAGACCACAAGTGTCATCCAGTGCAATCCCTTGCCATGCTTACTTATTTAGGCAATTCCTCGTTGTCCAAGTATGATGGCCTTCCGAGTTCTTGGAAGATGCCAGTACGTGAGTTTTTTTAATGTGTGGAAATCGGTGCTTGGCCGATCAACTCAGAATCTTCACAGAGTGAAGGACCCAACCAGTGGCATGGTTAAGATGATGGCAGTGGCTTCTCAATCTGTTGCAGCCTTCTTCCGCCTTCATACCCATTGTAACATGTAGCATGTTATTGTCTGCCTGATCCACTATTGAGGTCTTTGGATTGTGCTCGGTCTGGACCCTCCCCTGTGTCCCTCCCCGGGAGTACATGACTCTAGTGGTTATCCCCGCAGGTTCATTGGAACATACAAACCTTCTCACCATGACAAGGTGACAATCCATTGGGGGAGGGGGGCATGCAGTAATACACAATCAAAGCACTCCTGACAGATGGCAATCCAGTCTCTGCTCAAAAACCTCCAAAGAAGGAGATTCCACCCCAGGTGGATGCCAACAGAGAGCACATGAGCAGGGTATAGAGGCAATGACCCTTTTACCCATAGCTTCAAATAATCACTGGTGCTCTACTTCTGAACTTGATATTTTTCAAGTGCAGAAGTCACCATGCCTAATATAGTTGGTGAGAAGTGAGACATCCAATAGAATGTTGCTTTTTCAGCATATAGCCGATCTCTCTTGTCTCTCTCCAGGATAGTTTAATCTTTTGTTCCTTTTCACTCATTTTTCAGTTTTGCCAGCTAAAATTCTAGCACCACTGAGCATAAATTCCCACTGAAAATCATTTATACTCCAGGCTTCTTTCCCCTCTGGGTGTTGATGCCTTCCTCTTGTTCACAGATGGTGTTGTTTTGGTTGTATTAGGATCCGCATTTGGAGAATGAAATCAATATTAGTATATAGGATAGATTTCGCCTCCATAGATCCATCTTGCTGTTTTATAGGTTACCAGTAATGGCAGCGAAATC